ATCTCAGCTTATTGCAACATCCACCTCCTGGGTTCAAGCAATTCTCGTGTCTTAGCCTCCCAAGTAGCTGGAATCACAGGTGTGCACCACCATGGCCAGCTGATTTTTTGTATTTTTAGTAGAGACAGGTTTTCTCCATGTTGGCCAGGCTGGTCTCAAACTCTTGGCCTCAAACAATCTACCTGCCTCGGCCTCCCAAAGTTCTGGGATTACAGATATAAGCCACCATGCCTGGCCCCAAATACACTTTAAATCTTGCATTATAGGAGTCTTTGGTTGTGTTTCTATTATAAGTCTATTACTTCCATTATAAGTCCATGATAAAACAATGGTTTGTTTACTTGATGTCAACAAATATTGTCTCTACTTGAAGATTTTGTTTGTTGGTGTAGAAGGATTTTTTCCCGTTATTGTTTTATGAAAAAGGTTTAAAAATATGGAACAGTAGGAAAAAGTAATGTAATAAGCCCCTATATACTCACTACCTGGATACACTAAGTGTTAATATTTGCTATATTTGCTTCGTTGTTTTTTGCTGAATAATTACAAAGTAAGTTATAGCCATCACAACACTTTGTATCTAAATATTTCAGCATGCGTCACTCAAAGACATTTTCTTATGTAACGACAATGTCATTATCATCCCTCAGAATATTAACAGGGATTCTCTAACATTATCTAATACCTAGTCAGTATTCAAATTCCCATAGTTGTTTCAAAGATGTCTTATTTGTAGCTGCTTTTTGCAAACCAGAATGCAGAATGCAGTTAAGGATCACTAACTGCATTTGGTTGTTTTCTGATTGATTCTCAGCAGAAATGCATTTGGTTATTATGTCTCCTAAAGCTTTTAATCTAGAAGTTTCCTTCCCCCAACTACACTTTTTTTTTTACATACACATACACACGTGTGTGTGTGTGTGTATGTGTGTGTATAAATAAATATTTGGTGTAGGAGGATTTTTTCCTCTGTTGGTTTATGAAAAATGTTTAAGAATACAGAAAAATAGAAAGTAATATAAGAAGCTTCTATATACTCACTACCTGGATATACTAATGTTAATATTTGCTATATTTGCTTCATTGTTTTTTGCTGAATAATTACAAAGTAAATTATAGATATCAACAAATATATATATTTGTTGTTGTTGTTTGTTTTTTGAGACAGGGTCTTGCTCTGTTGCCTAAGCTGGAGTGCAGTAACATGATCTCGGCTCACTGCAACCTCTGCCTCCCAGGTTCAAGCGATTCTCCTGCCTCAGCCTTTTAGGTAGCTGGGACTACAGGCACATGCCACCACACCCGGCTAATTTTTGTATTTTTAGTAGAGATGGAGTTTCACCATGTTGGCCAGGCTGGTCTTGAACTCCTGACCTTTGGTGATTCTCCTGCCTTGGCCTCCCAGAGTACTGGGATTACAGGCCACCATCCCTAGTGCATTATATTTTTTAATGTAAAAGATATATCACTTAAACTTTATCACCTTTTTTTAAAATCACATTCCATTTTTAAGTATACAGCTCTGTGACATGTACATCCACATTGTGCAATGATCATCATTATCCATTGCTAGAACTTTCTGTTTTGTTTTTTTAAGATAAGGTTACACTCTTGTTGCCCAGTCTGGAGTGCAATGGCACGATCTCGGCTCACTGCAACCTCCACCTCCTGGATTCAAGCAATTCTCCTGCCTCAGTGTCCCAAGTAGCTGATTTTTTATTTTTAGTAGAGACGGGATTTCTCCATGTTGGTCAGGTTGGTCACGAACTCCTGACTTCAGGTGATCCACGTGCCTTGGCCTCCCTAAGTGCTGGTATTATATGCGTGAGCCACTGTGCCGGGCAGAACTTTTCTGTCTTGCAAAACTGAAACTGTGTACACGTTTCCTCTTTCCCCGTCCCCTGGAAACCACCATTCTACTTTCTGTCTGTATAAATTTGAGTATTCTAGATACCTCACAGGTGGAATCATATAGTATTTGTCCTTTTGCAACTGGCTTATTTCACTTAGCGTAGCTATACTTTTTCAAATGACTGCCTTTTTTCTTTAAAGGACAGGCCAGTTATTTTGTATATACAACTTATTTACTATTATTATTAGAGACAGGGTCTCACTGTGTCATCCAGGCTGGAGTGTAGGGGTGTGATCATAGCTCATTGCAGCCTCATCCTCCTGGGCTCAAGAGATTTTCCTACCTCAGCCTCCTGAGGAGTGAGGACTACAGGTGCACACCACCATGCCTAGCTTTGTACAATGTTTTATTTTCTTGATTCATCTGATTGTTTCCTTTTGATATCATTTAATTTTTATTTACTCTGCATGGTTCCTATAACCATTACATTGAAGGGCTTGTTTAGACTGAAGTTAAACATTTATGCAAGACTACTTCATAGATGGGAATATGCAATAAAAGCAGTTTTAATTTCTAAAATGACTTTCTAAAATGTCAGTCTTCTGTGAGACCCAGATTAGGAATAGCTTCTTCATATAGATTTCCACAGACGAAGAACCATCTTTTTGCCTTTTATGTTGGCCCGGAATAGCTCTGTAGTTCAGCCATCATTAATTTGTATGCCCATTGTATGTTGGCTGCTCCAAACTGAGGTAACTCCTGCTTTAGGGGAGCTCAGTCTGTTGAAGTAAGATTCACTGCCTTACCTTTCATCTCAGTAAATTTCCATTTTCTTCCTACCTTGCTTTAGCTGCTGCACAGGTTCTGGAACCTCTGGCAGTCTCAGATTGAGCAGAAAAAAGAAAGAGAGCAGCTCCCCTTACTACATGCTGCCTGGGACCACTACAGGTAGGGACTCTGGCTTTATCCCTGGCTCTCAGGGACTCTGTGCCTCTGACTTACTGTTTTCCAGGAGTGATGACTTGCCCTTCTATGGGTTAGTGTGGCAGATTCAGAAAGGCCTGCTAGGGTCGAGGTCCTGCTATAAACCATTTGTTCCTGAATTTGGTTTTTTTTCTGATCACATGGGAGAAAGAATGAGGATATTTGCATTGGTTCTTGGCCACCATAGTCTGAAGTATGTGCCTGGTCGCTCATTGCCTCAGTCCTGCAGGCATCAAGATGTTCACAAGTTAGAATTCATGCGTTGCTAGTGTTAAAGAGAAGAGTCAGGGGTATTTGTGGCTCAGTCTTAAGGGGTGCAGGGATTGTCCTCAATATTTTAGAACTAGTCATTCACTTAAATAAATAAAAACACTACATTTCTGTGAGGAAAGCTCAGAATATATAGGGTGAAAAGTATAAAGGGAAAAATAAAAGTTGCCTGGCCTGGCCCCCCCCTGCAAGTAAGAGTAAGATCTTAGTCCTCAGAGGGAAATACTACGTATGAACTTTTTTGCTGCTAGAAATGTTCAATGTGTCCTCTTCTTTGCCCTCCCCTTCCTTCCTCTCCCCATAGTATAATCAACTTAATTTGCATAGTTTAGGTCCAATTTTGAAACTTTTTTTTTTTTTTTTTGAGATGGAGTTTTGCTCCTGTTGCCCAGGCTGGAGTCCAATGGTGTAGTGTCGGCTCACTGCAACCTCTGCCTCCCAGGTTCAAGCGATTCTCCTGCCTCAGCCTCCAGAATAGCTGGGATTACAGGTGTGCACCACCATGCCCTGCTCATTTTTGTATTTTTAGTAGAGACAGGGTTTCACCGTGTTGGCCAAGCTGGTCTCAAACTCTTGACCTCAGGTGATCCACCCTCCTCAGCCTCCCAAAGTGCTTGGATTATAGGCATGAGCCACCACGCCTGGCCTTGAAGCATTTTTTAGTGAGTTAGTGAGAATCCCAATAATTAACCGACTCATGTAGAGTTATCAAGGCATATTATTCTAAACCCTGGTTTACAAAACTAAGTGTAAGAGGGAACATGTCACGGACCCCCATAGATTGACCATGAAACCAGGAAGTTCAGGATATCTAGGGGATTCCATACATATTTCCTAAGTTCTAGAGATACTGTGCTTTTGATGGTCTAATTAGGTTTTACAAGAAAGCTGTCAACATTTTTAGGCAATGCACAGTCCAGAATCAGAAGTTGACAAATTATTATTATTTTTTTTGGAGACGGAGTTTCACTCCTGTTGCCCGGTCTGTTGTGCAATGGTGTGATCTCGGCTCACTGCAATCTCCACCTTCCGGGTTCAAGCATATCTTCTGCCTCAGCCTCCTGAGTAGCTGGGATTACAGGCATGCACCACCATGCCTGGCTAATTTTTGTAGTTTTTTAGTAGAGACGGGGTTTCACCATGTTAGCCAGCTGGTCTCGATCTCCTGACCTTGAGACCCATATGCCTTGGCCTCCCAAAGTGTTGGGATTACAGGCATGAGCTACCGTACCTGGCCAGATACCGGAATCTTACTGATGTCTCTCCTAAAATGAAACTGTTAAGCCCATAGGGTGCCTTTAACTCACAGGAAGTAACTGTACCCTGATTTACCTGCCTTAAAACAAGGTTTTAAGAACTTGAAACCTGAAGGTGTGGATGGGCAGTAAGTACCTTGGTGTTTTTCATTTTGTTGCAGGATAGCACTGCTGTGCAAGTGTGTCAAATTGTGGCTACATTATACTCAGAAGAGGCGGGACAAGCAGGTATGGAGTACTTTTTAGCAGATGGCTCTGCTGGCTTATATTGTTAGACCCATTTGCTTTGGAAAGATTCATGGAGAACACATATGTCAAGAAGTGTTGTTGTTCTGCTTTGGAAGAGAGGGGATTGAAAAAGCTCAAAGGCATGATATCAGAAAGTCTGCATAGTTCCCATTTCTTAATCTGCTATGAAAATACAAGTGCTCTCTGAAAGTACTAAGCTCTTATCAGCCATTCATATGTTTACTCAAATTCATTTAGTCTATGAGTTAGCCAGCCCATCACCCAGTGGGACCTGCAGGAGATACAGGGAGAGGTGCAGCGCGTAAGTGCTGCATCCCAGTGCTAAACAGTGTTGAGATGCATGTTCCCAGGGGGGTGGAGGACGTGAGGTCAGGACCACAGATGAGAAAGATTCACTTCCGTTTAATAAATACTTATTGAGCAACTGCTCTGCCTCAGACACTGTGCTAAGCACTGAGGATACAACTGTGATGTAAAGTAGATAAAATTCCTGCTCTACCAGGGCTCATACTTTAGCACCAGGGTGACAAGTTAGTGTGACTTTACAAGCCCGTTCTAACAGTTAGGAGTAGCTGTCTGGAATGTTGAACTGAGAAGGAGTTCAAAGACATGTTTATACTCAGTGGGAAAGGGTTCAATGGATGATTCTGCCATTGTGAGAAGTGCCCCTTTTTGGTTGTCTCTGGGAGTGAGACAGAGGAAGACAACCAAACTCCTCCCAGTTATTTTTGTGCTGCCCATCCTAACCATACCTCCATCTTCTGCTAGAGTCTAACAGGTGAATCTAAAAATCTATCTAGTTCCCCATAGTTTGTGGATATAATCCTTTTTTTTTTTTTTTTTGAGATGGAGTCTTGCGGCTGGGCGTGGTAGCTCATGCCTGTAATCCAGGCACCTTGGAGGCCAAGGCAGGCGGATCACCTAAGATCGGGAGTTCAAGACCAGCCTGACCAACATGGTGAAACCCTGTCTTTTAAAAAAAGAAAAAGAGATGGAGTCTTGCTCAGTCACCTAGGCTTAGTCACCTGGCGCTATCTCGGATCACTGCAACCTCCGCTTTCTGGGATTAAGTGATTCTCCTGACAGCCTCCGGAGTAGCTGGGATTACAGTCACCTACCGTCATGCCTGGCTACTTTTTGTATTTTTGTAGAGATGGGGTTTCACCATGTTGGGCAGGCTGGTCTTGAACTCCTGACCTCAGATGATTCACCTGCCTTAGCCTCCCAAAGTGCTGGTATTTCAGGCATGAGCCACCACACCCCGCCAGAATCCAAATTTTTAGCAAGGCCTACACACTCCTTTGGGAGCTGGTCCCTGTCTGTTTCTCTCCTCGTTGCCGATACTACTCTGTTCCTTCATAACGGCACTCTGACCAGTTAAGCTGCCAGTGTCCCTAAAGGTCCTCTGTGCTCTCCTGCTTCTCATTGTACCTCCAGTTCTCGATTTCTCACTCCCTTCCAGCTCACATGTCACCTCCTCCCCCAGGCCAGTCCACCTCCACCCCTACCCGTCAGGCATAGCTTTATCAGAACATTCATCATGTAATTGTTCACTGGCTTCTCTCTCCCCACTGGCTATGAAGTCCTTTAAGAGTGCAGCCTGTCCCTTTTTTCTCCTTAGCCCGACACAGTGCTTGGCATGGGGTATGTGCTAATATTTGGATGAATTAATGCACAAACAAACAAACGAACTGCCGTTGATCTCCAGAGTTTTTCCAAGGATGATCTAAGTTGGTAGAGTTTGGATGCTACGGGGCATGGCCTCTTCTTGCGTCACTCTTGCCTCCCACACTTAGGAAATGCTAGAGTCACTGCATTCCTTGACATGCCTTTGGATTATGTTACTGGCTTTGAAAAGATATTGCCACTTGTTATTTTAAGTTTATGTAATACAAGTTCACCAGAATGTAGGAAAACCTTTCAGAAGAAGACTGAGTGTCAGGTTTGAAAGGTTGTATTTATTCAAGTTGGAGAGCAGAGGGTCTCTTTTATTTCCTTCCCTTGACACAGGGGCCCAACACTGGTGGACAGTTTGGGGTCCACCTTTTCATCTCTCACACTGATCTAGCATGGCCTGCTTTCAAAGGTATGGCAGGTCTGAAAAATAGGAGGAGCCCTGCTCAATCATTTCTAATCCTTTAGCTAACAATCGAATATCACCTCTTGCTTTAGATAGCCCAGGAGCACATCAGTTGTTTCTATTCTTAGACAAGATAAAAATATTATTTTTTGTGGGTTTCTTCCTTTTAAAAAAGTAACATACAAGGCCGAGGCGGGTGGATCACGAGGTCAAGAGATCGAGACCACCCTGGTCAACATGGTGAAACCCCGTCTCTACTAAAAATACAAAAAATTAGCTGGGCATGGTGGCGCATGCCTGTAATCCCAGCTACTCAGGAGGCTGAGGCAGGAG